TATAGATCATTCCTTTTAAAATCCTCCAAATCCACATAAGCTCATTTAATAACAATAACTATTTGCATTTACTTCGTAAATCTTACACCATCATTCATCATTAACCGAAAACATGTACTAACTTATTATGTTTTAAATAATACCTGATCTCTAATTAATTAATTCGTTCATTAATTCATTCACCCATTTATTCCTTTTTTTACAATCTATATCATCTATTTCACTTTCTGTTCCATTACCTTTCTATCATCTATCTATGAGGCAAGTTCGAGATGACACCCTATAAAGTGGGCAGGGCATGAGCAAAGTCCTATCACTCAGAGTAAAAATCATAACCTCCTCAATCCAGTATAGAAGTCAACGGTCAGTTAATTTTTATGTATTACAATAGAATAAAATAACATATACTTTCTGCATTTACTTATAATAATCAGTATGAGTTAAATAATTTTACCAACCCACAGAAAAATAGTTTGTGCCGACGTTTTTTTCAGCCCATTTCCATTTGACAGGTAAAAAATATATGGTTGGGTTCTTCCTTATTTGTGTTTGTTTTCGATAAAAGCTTATTTTTTGGTCTTCTGAACAAAACAAACCTGGTACATAACAAAAATATATTCTGATAACACTGGTCTCTACCACATTCAAAATGGTTCTATTTTTTTTTAATCGCTTACTTTTTGTGACACTAGTGTTATGAACCCCCACCCTCTTTCAAATAAAAACAAATAATAAACCATTAATAATACTCACCTAATGTATCTATTAATCCATTAAGAAACAGCGGCACCATTGGCCAAACACATCACATACTAAATAGGTACATTGTTAAAATTTTTTATTAATATACATAAACCGAACTATACGACAAAAAACTGATATCGCACGTGCACTTCCGATATATTTTTCGTTTGAAGGTACGAGAAGTACTGATTTATTTTTAATACATTTTAAAATATAAATACCCTTTACATAATGATATTTATGATTCACCAACAGTGCATGGCTCATTCTGAACGATATTGATAACAAAAACATGCCGATTGTCCCAAATTAAAATTCTACTTTATATAAAACAACAACTCCAAGTCATTGTGAAAATCGATGGCGAGTACTCGAGAGAAATATGTCGAAAATCAGAATGCAACTGGACGAGGAAGAAGTGTTTTGAATATTC